CATTACACACACAAAAAAAAACCCAAACAAGAGAAAAAGGCCCAGTTGGAGTGTTACCTGGTCCAAGTACAACAGGGTAGGAAGCTAAAACTGTAGCTCCAGTTTCAATGCATTCAGTGCTCCCTGTTGGGGGGCTCCCGCACTGCGATGCAACTGTACTTCAGAAAGAAATTACCAAGACCACCAATTCATGACAAATGCCTCAGTAGTCTCCTAGCAACAGAGCTCACCCAGATCACCTCTCTTCTGCGTTCCCTTCATCCCACAAGCTTCCCAGTGAATATCAGGGTGGTTTTCAAGGTCTCAGTCCCAACTTCACAGCACTCTCGGTCTGTCTCGAGCTCCTGGAGGCCGGCACCGCTTGACCCCTGCGGAATGAGCTCTCACGTTCGCCGCTTTCTTCAGGTAAAAGCTGAGCTGTCGTTAGGCAAAGTTAAGGAAACTGGCTCAAGACTCACCTTTCTGCTGTCTGACAGAACGTGTCCATGTAGCTGCCTATAAACGGCACTTGGGGAGAGAAAATCAGGAGTGGGTCATCCATAACTTTATTAATCACAGAGAACACTAGTAGTTAAAGACAGACTTCCATGGCTCTTCGGGGCACTTGCATGTTTTTCTTTTATAGTCGGTAGCTTTTCAATAATTTATTTGTTGCTTAATGAAGAAAGACAGCAATGTACTGCATTTTTCTGTTCTCACATTGAAACTCCAATTTTCTAATCTCAGTAGGTGTCACGTTGTATATCCTTATCAAGAATATAACCAAAAGGGAAGGCATGAAGTCTTACACAGCTGTCCAATTCACAAATACGGAAAATCATTTTCTTAATGTTTCTGTCTTTCCCTGCACAATTTCTCTCCTTTGTAATTACCAAAGACTAAGAAAAACATATTTCAAATTTTCCATTGCTTTGTGGCATAACAAAAAAAAAAAATGGTGGTAACTGATCTGACTAGATGAGGAACAGCACCTACATACAGCTTACATTCTCAATCACAAGTCTATTCTTCGGGGAAATATGAAATGATTTGAGAAAAAAATTACTCCTTGACTAATCAATACCTAAATCACAAAACAAAAAAAATATGTAGAGCACATCCCTGGAATACAACAGCATCTCAGACTAGTTTGTAAAATCAGTAAAAATATTTCAGCATAGAAGGATCTGTGCTGTCTAAAGGACTCTACTATCCATAGTCCAAGAGGGAAAGATACAGATGTGGTACAGGAACAAACTATTTTTAATAATCTCCTAGGATTTGTATGTCTTGCCTGTTTAAATATACTTCTGTATGGAATACTTAAATAATAAGGAAAAAAAAAACAAAACCAAACAGAACACCTTAGCATATCCTTAACATAATCTGAAGTAACAATATCAGAACAGATATATTAACATCGTGCTTTACCATAAAAATATGTTCATCCTCAGGACAAAATATTACCTTATCCGGTCTCATCTTCTTGATTTGACTGGTGCCTGTACTAATGATTTTCAAAAGAATTTGTGAAATATGAGTTTAAAAAACCCCAACAATAAATGGTTTCCCAGACAACACAGCTAGCAGAGCTAGTAACGGTTCAG